CTTGATTCTTCTAGTATATTGGCTGCTATAGAATTCTCTAGAAAGTTGGTGATGATTCTTCATCTCCTTCTGCCTCAGTTGCTCTCTCTTCTCAACTATGGCACCAACGTCTTGGTCATCCTTCTCCCCCAATTCAAAAGAAAATCCTAGCTGACAATAAAATTTCTTCAACAGATTCCCCTATAAATAAAGTTTATGATTCTTGTCTTCATAACAAAAGTCATAAACTATCATTTCAAAATTCTTCTATTATTTGTAATAAACCATTTCAAGTTATTTATTCAGATGTTTGGGGTCCTTCCCCTATGACCTCGTTTGGAAATTTTCGATATTATGTCATTTTTATAGATTACTTCACAAAGTACACCTGGTTATATCCTCTCAAGTTGAAATTTGACGTGCTTAAGGTTTTTGAAAACTTTAACAAACTCATTGAAAACTACTTTCACACAAAAATTGTAACTGTATACACAAATGGTGGTGGAGAGTATCACACACTTTCTCACCTCTTAACCTAACATGGAATTCAATATCTTACATCTTCTCCTTACACATCTGAACATGTCGGCTCTGCTGAACGTAAACATCGTCACATTGTGGAAACTGGCCTCATGCTTCTCCACAGTGCTGTTGTTCCTCTTCGTTTTAGGTCTCATGCTTTCCAAATTGAAATATACCTCATTAATAGAATGCCTACACCAGTTCTAAACCATGATACACCTTATCAGAAATTATTTGGCCATAAACCCAAATACACTTCCCTAAGGCTGCTTCTTAACACTCTCCAACACAGGCAAGTAGTTCATCTTCTCCATCTACCACATGTGCAGATCCTAACCCTACATAATCATCCTCCCCATGCTACGACACCAACCAAACTGTCCAGCAAACTGAAGCTATTCATCCCCCTTCATATCAATCAGATATACCATCCTGCATGGTCACTCGTTCTTAAAATAATATCTACAAACCTAAACAACCCTTCTCCCTAAATACTACTATATTTCCCCCCTTTCCCAAATAGAACCTTCATCATTTACCCAAGCCAACAAGCACTCTTATTGGCGTGATGCCATGAAAGATGAATTTCTTGCTCTTAAAAAAAAAAACTTGTTCCCTTGTTCCACTCTCCTCTACACAAAATATTGTCGGGTGTAAATGGGTCTATCAGATCAAG